TGCTCATAAGAATTCTTCTATGGAAATGTAAGGACACAGCTGATGATTAACTGGGCTGAAGTCACATACAGATCAGACTTGTAAGCACCGGTCTCTAATTACAAGTAGCCCTTTGGAAGAGAAGATCAAACACGTTCTTGGGTTTTTTTTTTCTTTGTGTGGGGGCCAGAAGGAACATGCAGGCTTTTCTTGGAACTTTGTTCTTGGAGTGGATTTTATGTGATCAAAAGAGAAGAAGAATTGGATTTGTGTGACATCAGCCCAGAATGTAACACTTTTACATTTTTCTTACAGGGAAAAAAAAACTAGTCATGCTCACTGCATAGTGAAGAACACAGGCAAGAGACTTTCATCTCCAGCCCCTGCAATTACTTACCCCAAGAGCCCCAGTTAGCTCAATGCCCCCCAGCTTGCAGGGTTAACCTCGATCATCCGATCATCCATCAGGTGTGAAGACAGGAAGAACATTTATCCAACTCTTAGCAGTCGTACCAGACAGCACTTCTCAAGTGCAAAAGAGCTGGAGCCTTTCTGGGAATTTCCGGAAGTTGGCAGCTTCCTTTGCCTTTATACATATCAATGTGTGCGGCTGCTCTGGAGTGTCTGAAGTTACAAAGGAAAGAGTGCTGAATAAATGCATGTGAGGCTGAGGCTTACTAGGTTGTCAAGGCTATCTAGGTTAATTTAAGCACTGGGCTTCTAACTGAAGGTCAGTGGTTCAAACCCACTGGCCACTCTCGGGGAGATGAACAGTCTTGAAAACCCTGGGGCTGGGGGCAGTCTCTGTCCTACACCACTGAGTCAGAATCAGCTCAGGGGCTCTGGGTTTAGTCTCTATTTCTAAGCAAACGAAAACTGCCTTGCCTGCAGACCACTGATCGTAGCCATGTGCTGTCATGCCAGAACATACCATGAAGTGGTGCAGAACTGAGTGTGCCGTGGAACGGTCAGCACGTTGGTGTCTTGAGGATCCCAGGCCTGAGAGGATCAGAAACTCCCACCTTCACTGGCAGGTGTAGCTGTGGCTTGGGCAGAAGCAGGAGAGGGCTCCGGGACTGTAGAGAAACTTTATCTTCCAGAACGTCCTGCTAGATGGCTTTGCTGGCCGTGACTTGTTTTAAACATTCTTCTCACTGTCAGGCTTGGCGTCTGCTGCTGCGTCAGCACCGTACCTAGAACTCTCTGGATCGAGACATTGCTTTGTGAACAAAGGGGACCCAAAGCGGGAGGAGCTGTTAGTTTCCCATGAGGGACAAGCCCTCAGTGAGCACCACTGACCCCCACTGAGCTGGGACAATGTGCTAGGAGCTCCTCATTCTCTTTAAAGTGTTGGTGCTGCAGACTCCTGGCGGCCCTTGAGGTGTGTCTTTGCAGTCTGGCACATTAACTGCATTTTCAGGCAACTGGTGTGTTTGTACCTGGTTGCAATCTTGAAGCCTTCCTTGAAGCACACCATGGCTTGGAGGTGAGGTACACCCAGCTAACAACAAGGTGCTTGGAGTGGCCCACGTTTTTAGTGGCCTGAGTTCTGGATCACCAGAACTCCACAGGGTCTTCAGTGCTGTGAGTCTTTGCATACAGATTGCCAGGACTTTCTTGTGATGCACCTCTGGATGCATTGGACTGCCAACCTTTCTGGTTTGTAGTCCCACACTGAATCATTGGTACCACCTAGGAGCTTCCACGTGGTGCTGTTCAAATTTACCAGTTGTTCCTTAGAAACCCTATACTGGGTTGCTATGAGTTGGAACCAACTCCATGGCACTTAACAGCAACAACAGGGATGCCCATTTAAAACTGGCACTGTGGGTTACTGTGCCACACTGCAAAGCTGTTTGAACTGCAAGGTTGGTTTTTCAAGCTCACCAGCTGCTCCTTGGAAACCCTGTACAGGGTCACTATGAGTCAGAACTGACTCAATGGCAGTTAACAACAACAACATACAGGGCAGATGAAGAAAGCCACAAATTCCATGCAGAGAATAGAACTTTGTGCGTTCTTAGTTTTCAGAGAAAGAAATGTATTCTTGTTTGCTTTTGGCTTTTGCTTTTGCCATGGGACCAACTCAGACTCCTGAGCCCACGTGTGTCAGAGTCGAGCTGTGTTCGCTGATGTTTTTAGTGGCCCGAGTTCTGGAGGGGATCACCAGCCTATGATTCTGAGGTACCTCTGAATGGACTGGAATGTCTGACGCCCACTTAGTTTTGGCATTTCTTGTTGTGTCCTCTGGAGGGATCATGTGGCGGACATGTGACCTGTACGTGGGAGGCTAGGGGAAGCAGATGGGAATCCACTTACTGCTCTTCTAGACAGAGCCATCATTTCAGAATGAGATACACTGAATGCTTGTTTGTCTCTGCATCCCCCGAGGAGATGCTGTCAAGCTTTTTGTGGTCCCTGGGAAGCCACTTAGGTACGGATTCTAGGCTAAGTGAATGGGTTTAGCTGGAGTCTAGAATTCATACCCAGATGCTTTGCTCCCTGAAGCTCGTGGAGGATGCTCACCACATCCCAGGACTGCTGACTCTCTCCAGGCTTCACAGCTAGCTCTTCTGAAGGAATAGGGTAGAGGAATGACAGACAACCACCCCAACCAATATTGACAGTGTGGACTTCCTCTGTAGAAAGATGCCCTGTGGTTGGCTTTGCTCCCGATGAGACTTGGTTTGGTTGTGTTAAGTCCTATTTGATGATGAGCAGCAAGTTTGATGCTGAGCGAAGGAGTTGGTCTTAAGGGCTGCTATCTGAAAGGTGGTTGGTTAGTATCCACTCAGCAGCTCTGCAGAAGGAAAGACCTGGTGATCTTCTGTGCAGATTACAGTTTAGAAAGCCCTAAGGGGCCCTTCTAGTCTGTCCTGTAGACTCTGTGAGTCAGAATCAGCAGGAGAAAACAACAGGAGGCGCTGAGCAGGGGCCTTAGGCTGCATGGTGGGGCCCTGGGGTGTAGTTGAGTACTCTATGAGAAGCTGGGCACCGGGGGTGGGTTTGGTGGGCCAGGACCTTCAGTCACCTGCAACACCAGCTGGTCAGACATGAATCATAAAGCACTTATTCCCGTGCAAACACAGGTCAAAAGTGGTTGTATGGTTTTGCAAAGGAGTTTGGGGAGGAAGGAAAGAAGGTGAGGAGGTGGGTGGGGCAGGGGCAGGAACTGAGAGATCTTCTATGACTTGGAGGAAAGAGATCCCATATGTACTTTTAAACATTCATGTGCAAGGAACATATTTTCTTGTTGGTCTCTCGGTTTGTTTTATGGTGAGAAAATAAGTTATTTGAAGTCTTAATACTTTAAGATGCCCTTTTGTTTGAAAGCAAGTGTCTCTTTTTTTAGGGTACTCATTGAAACGGGCCCTATACTTCAGTGTTAGCAGCGTTGTCAGAACATTTACGCTTTAAAAAGTATACAAAGGAAGAGCTCAGACTGTTTAAGCTGGAAGTGGGTGGGTTCTGATTAATATAGCTATGAGGGAGCTCAGAAACTTTGTGGGAAAAATGGATGAAATATAGCGGAAATTTTGAAGCCCCCTCATAAAAATGGAGTCCTGGTGTGGTGCTGTAAGCTAATGCGTCAGACTGCAAAGTCACTTGAACTGCAAGGTCAGTGGTTCATGCTCACCAGCTGCTCCTTGGAAACCCTATACAGGGTCGCTATGGGTCAGAACCGATTCGACGGCACTTCACAACAGCATATCAAAACAAAAACCAGTCGATTCAAACTCATGGTGACACCATGCATAGCTGAGGAGCCGCAACAGTATAGTTACAAAGAGCTGCCAGAGATTCAAGTCGGATTCAGACCCACGACATGGAACAAGCAATATCACTGCTGATGTCAGATGGATTTTGGCTGAAAGCAGAGAATACCAGAAAGATGTTTACCTGTGCTTTAATGACTTCCCAAAGGCTTTCGATTGTGTGGATCACGACAAGCTATGGACAACATTGCAGAGAATGAGTGTTCTGGAACACTGAATTGTGCTTATGAAGAATCTGTACATAGAGCAAGAGACGGTTCTTTGAACAGAACAAGAGGGCACTGAATAGTTTAAAATCAGGAAAGGTGTTGTATTGTTTCATCCCACTTATTCAATCTGTATGCTGAGCAAGTAATCAGAGAAGCTGGGTTATATGAAGAATAATGTAGCATCAGCATTGGAGGAAAACTCATTAACAATCTGTGATATGCAGATGATATAATTTTGCTTTCTGAAAATGAAGAGGACTTAAAATACTGATGAAGATCAAAGACCACAGCCTTTGGCATAGATATGTCTCAATGTAAACAAAACAAAGATCCTCACCACTGAAGCAATGAATAAGTAACATCATAGACTTGGGGAAGAGATTGCAGTTGTCAAAAACTGCATTTTGCTCGGATCAACCATCCACACTCATTCATGGAGGCAAAAGTCAAAGAAATGATCACATTAGGTAAAGTGTTCAAGAGCAAATGTGTCTGTTTGAGGACTAAGGTATGCCTGATCCAAGACATAGTATTTTCAGTAGATTCATACGTATATGAAAATTGGACAATGAGTAGAATTGATGCATTTTAGTTAGGGTGTTGGAGAAGAATGTTGAAAGTACCATGGACTGCCAAAAGAACAAATCTGTGTTACAAGAAACACAATCAGAATGCTCCCCAGAAGCAAGATGACCAGATTTCTTCTCTCATATTTTGGCCTTATTATAGGAGGGACCAGTCCCTGGAGAAGGATATCATGCTTGATAACTGGAGGGTCAGGGGAAAAGAAGGAGATCCCCAAAAAGATGAGTTGGCACAGGGGCAGCAGCAAGTGGCTCAAATGTAACAATTTTACAAGAATTGTAAGATTGGCACAGGACTGGGCAGTGTTTCATTGTGTTGTGCATAAGGTCACTCTGAGTCAGAACCGTGTCAATGGCACCAAACAACAACAGTTATTTCTTGTGAATATTTGTCAAATGTTTGAGAACTTTGAAGTAATGTTCCTATGCCTGAGAATGTAAGAACTTCCACATTTCCTAAGGAGCTCTGGTAGTATAGTGGTTATGAATCGGGCTGAGAACCACAAGGTCAGCAGTTTGAAACTACAATGGGAGAAAGATGAGGCTTTCTGCTCCCGTCAAGATTTACAGCTTCAGAAACCCTGTACAGGGTCGCTAAGAGTCGGAACTGACTCCATGGCACATAACCACCACCACTACCACCATATGGAAATACAACATATAAATCTATCACTTACATACAGGGTGGGCCATATACTTGTATCCATTCATTATTTGCCTTCAAGTTAAGTGTTGATTGTTACAAGAAATGTTTGTACAGGATTTTGTTTGTTAATATTTTATTGTGGTTCAGTTGAAAGTCTGCACAGTGAATTAGGTTCCTCCTTAACAATAGTTATACAAACTGTTCTATGCCATTGGTTACATTAAACAATGTGTCCACATTCTTGGTGCCTTTCCATTGTTCTAGCTTATCTTCCTGGCTTCTCATCTTTGCTTTTAGGTAAATGTTGCCCATTTGGTATCTTATAATTACTTGTTTGTAGTTGTTGTTAAATACCCTCAAGTTGGTTCCAACTCACAGTGACCGTGTTGTTAGTAGTCCAGTGCTTATCTTATAGCATCACACCAGGGCTCCAGCTAATTGATTATGTTATTGCACTGACTGAAGCTGTCTCTTTTTCTCATATACTCTTAGTGTCGTCATGTACATCGGTCAGGTTGTGCCTACTTTCCCTGGATGTGGTATCAACTTCCCCTTCATCAAATATAACAAGCATCTAATATCTAGGATACAATCCCCCTTCCATCCCTGATATTCATCAAAACCATTTCTTTCTGTGCACATGTTGATTCTTAACTTTGTATCAGAGTGACCCACATGGTATGGCTCTTTGGTGACGGACTGGCTGGCTCAGTACCATGTTTTCCGGAGATGTCCTCATTATAGGATGTCTCGGAGAGTACCCATGCTTTGTCTCTGAGGGAGGAGTGCTCCATTGGATGGATGTACCACATGCACGTTGAGAACTGGGTGACATTGTTGGACATCAGCCTTTGCCACATCCCTGTGTTAGTTATTTGACGTAGATGTTGTTTGCATATACATATGGGCATTTACACACAACATGTAGCTAGTTAATGCTCACAGTAACCCATTTTAGAGGTGAGGAGTCTGAGGCTGGGTCAGAAGGTGAGGCCCACCTGCTCAGTAGCACACTTGGCATGTGACTTTCTAAGTCAAAGCATCATTCCTGGTAGATTTTCTAGGCTCTGAAAATCTAGCATTTCTCTTTGTTTGCATGCCTTGCCTCCAGCCTCCACTTAGTGAGAACCTGCTTCTCCGATGTCACTACCAAAATTCAAGCCCAGTTGTCATCGAGTCAGCTCCCACTCATAAACCCCTGCTGTGCTCTACAGGGTTTTCCTCCAATGCCTGATTTTTTAGATTTCCAGACACCTAAGGTAGCGTAGTGGTTACAAATCGGGCTGCGAACCTCAGGGTCAGCAGTTCGAAACTACCAGCTGTTCCGCGGGAGAAAGATGAGGCTTTCTGCTCCCATAAAGATTTACAGCCTTGGAAACCCTGTGCAGGGTCGCTATGAGTCGTAATCGAGTCCACGGCACATAACAAAAAGGATGGACCTCCAAGCTTTGGGTGAGCAGCCTAGCATGTTCACATTCTTGTTTGTGCCACCCGTAGGGTTCTCCCCAGAACTTAGGGAAGTTGAGAATGTTCCTTGTGATATAGGGTAGGGGGCACTAACTAACAACTTACAGGAGAAGCCTTTGTATTTTCTTCTTTCCTTGGGATTTGTTAGCCCTGACAAGCTCCTCTGGACCACACGGTCAGTGAGTTTGCGTGGCAGTTACCCATGAGCTGGCGAGAGCGGACTCTTGAGTAGAATCATGACGGAAATGGAGGTAGCATGGGCTGCCAGTATCCAGCGACTTCCTCTCTCACGGGCTGTATTATTCGTCTTCTGATAAAGACGTGTCTGGTAGGCAATTGGTGATTAAAGAAAAGTCTGCAGTTGGAGGGAAATACTGGCCAGGGGTCAGCAGGTTTTAGGGGGTGCATTTTGCATAGATGTTTGAAGTTGGCATTATATTCAGAATGCACACTTTTCACTGCATTGAATCTTAAGGTGATGTCTGTGCTTAACCACCTTTTCATTCTCTTTCTTTTATTTTGTAGTTTCATTTGAGGCAACAGGATGTGGGACTGAGAACCCATCTGAAGCAGCTGGACCAGCAAATCAGCGAGTTACAGCTGGGTGTGCGCAAGGGGACCAGCGAATCCCCAGACAGCGACAGCCGGCCGAGCTCAGGTACTGGACCTAGCTCCTGGAGGCCCAGTATCCCCAAGGCCACACAGACCTGGGCCAGGTGACAGTCCTGAAGGAGTAAACAGTGATATTGTGGAGCCTGGAGTCCAGGTTCAGGGTGTTATCTGTCAGCTGCATGAAAGGGCAACACCAGAGGGTTAAAGAGACTTCAGAACCACCTTGAGCTTTAACCTCACTTGGGGCTGTGTCTCTCCTCTGACTATGTGCCTCCCATCTGCAGCACAGGAAGGATGGGGTCCTATGTGGAAAAGGGGGTTCTGTGGGTGACAGGTTTCCTGTGAGGAGATAGGGAGGGGTTCCATAGGTTGGAATGGGGGTTCCCCTGAGTGGTTGGAGTCCTTGTAGATGCGGTTCCCCTGAGTGATTGGGGTCCTGTGTGGGATGGGGTTCCCCTGAGTGGTTGGGGTCCTGTGTGGGATGGGATTTCACTGATTGGTTGGGGTCCTATGTGGGATGGGGTTCCCCTGATTGGTTGGAGTCCTGTGTGGGATGGTGGTTCTCCTGAGTTGTTGGGGTCCTATGTAGGATGGGGTTCCCTTGAGTGGTTGGGGTCCTTGTGAATGAGGTTCCCCTGAGTGATTGGGGTCCTATTTGGGATGGTGTTCCCCAGATTGGTTGGGGTCCTGTGTTGGATGGGGTTCCCCCTGAGTGGTTGGGGTTCTGTGTGGGATGGGGTTCCCCTGAGTGGTTGGGGTCCTATGTGGGATGCGGTTCCCCTGAGTGTTTGGGTTCCTGTGTGGAATGGGGCTTCCCCTGAGTGGTTGGGGTCCTGGGGCATAGAAGCTGTCTCCTCCAGCACATGTTCTGACTTGTGTCTTCCCCCCAGGTTTCTATGAGCTGAGCGATGCCGCCTCTTACTCTCACTCCACTTCCTGTACATCTGTCTGCAGTGAGACTGTTGCCACCTTCCGTGGCAGCCTGCTGCCTGGCTCCTGGCCACCCACTGCCCGGCGCAGTGAAAACCGGCCATGGTCAGCAGATGAGAGCACTGTGAATGTGGCTCACAGCCCTGCTTGGAGACCTGTCCTCACTGAGGGCAAAGTGGAGGCCTCAGGCAGGGAGTCCTGGGACAGGTTCCGGCCCAGACCCGTGTCCACAGGTAACCAAGCATCAGAAAAGGTGAAGCTGCATCCCTGTGTGAGTGGGCAGCTGCAGGGGAGCCAGGAACTAGGGGCCACTGAGTTGGACCCAACTCATGAACCCCGTGCATCTCAAGAGAAGGTGCTCCACAGGTTTTATACAATGATTGAGCTTTCGGAAGCATTGCCAGGCCTTTCTACTCAGGGGCTTCTGAGAGGATTTGAACTTCCCAGCCTTCAGTCAGTGAAATGAGTGTGTTAATTACATCACCAGGGACTGAGCTGTAGAGCAGATCCCATATAACAATGATGATAAAGACACACAGACATGTGCTGAAAAGGGGGACTTCACTTTTCCAGATGAACCAGGAACCCTGGTGGTGCCATGGTTAGGCACTGGGCTGCTAACTTAAAGGTCAGCAGTTCAAACCCATCAGCTGCTCCATGGGAGAAAGATGGGGCAATCTGCTCCCATAAAGTCTGAAACCCTATGAGGTAGCTCTACTGTGTCCTACAGGGGCGCTATGAATTGTGAGTGACTTGACGGTGTTGGAACCATGCAACTACCATAGACTTTCTATAGGATTCCTTTCTAAAAAAGTGGAGTTCATCACCCACATGCACCCTCTATGGTACAGCTCTTCCGAGACCTGGTCTAGCATTTGATCTTGGCTGGTGGGACTCCTGCGTGGCTCCTCACAGGGTCTCTGAGCCCTGAAGAGACCTTCCCACGATTGCCATCTGCAGACCTGCTATCCCCCATGGCCTCAGAGTCCCTGATCGAATGAGGTTGTTGAGCAGCCTATATAAGATGTGAGAGTCTATGGTTTACTTTTACAAACATGCTGCCATTAAATGCAATAACAGCAAAGATCAAAAAAGTAGAGGACAATAAATGCTGACAGGGATGTGGAGAGACTGGGACGCTCCTGCATTGCTAGTGGGATTGCAAAATGGTCCAACCTCGCTGGAAAGCAATATGGCGCTTCCTCAGAAGGTTGGAAATAGAAATACCTTAGGATCCAGCAATTCCTCTACTTGGTATTTAGTCACAAGAAATACGAGCCATAACATGAGTAGATATATGCACACCGATGTTCATAGCAGCGCTATTTATTATAGCAAAAAGATGGAGACAGCCTAAGTGCCCATCAACTGAAGAATGGATAAACAAACTGTGGTACATACACAATGGAATATTATGCTACCTTGAAGAATAACAAGGAAGCGGTAAGCCACCACATAACATGGATGAACCTTGAGGACATTATGCTGAGTGAAATTAGTCAGTCACAAAAGGAGAAATACTGCATAGGACCATTGTTGTAAAAGATTAAGTAGAAGAACCCACCCTAAAAAGGGGGGCGGTGATGGGGTTGGCACCAGGAAATGGAAGTAATTATGTGCCATTGTGATTTTTTGGTCCAATTGACCTCTAAAAACTACAGGTGTGCATGGAGAATTGTTTTTATGCAAATTAGCAGGTATGTTATTCCTTGCACACGGAACACATGATTTGCATGAAAATGTAGATTGTGGCCTGTGTTCAGCTTTGACTGGGGGAGCCGTTTGCTGCAATAGAGCAGATTGATTTTGCCTTAATGAAGTTGGTTGTTTATGAAGGAAACTAGTAACCCATTAATGCACCTACTGAATTCCACCCCTTCCCTGAGTTCTTTATATTTTCTCATTCTTAGGAGACCTTGAAAGGGTCATGCTAATTGAGCCTCAGTTCCAAAGAGCCAGCACCGATAACCAGTCCAGCTCCCTGCTCAGCTGTGGGCTCAGCATCCCTCCACCTGTGGTAGACCCCAAGTACCAGAGGGACCTGGTGATTCAGAGCAGCAAGGAGGTGTACGCCTACCCCAGTCCCCTGCACGCAGTGGCCCTGCAGAGCCCCCTGTTCGCTCTGACCAAAGAGACACCAGAGATGGGCAGCAGTGAGCCCCCCGGGAGTCCCCGTCCTGACTCCTTCTATTCCAGACCGATCCCTGAGGTGCATCCTGCAAGGGAGTACATTAACAAGCTGCTTCAGCGGAATCAGACCCAGGGGGGCCACCTGAGGATCGGCATGGGCAAGCAGGGGCTGCCCAGGTATGCACAGATGTGCATAGGAGAGAGCCTGGACCAGAAGGGTCAACTCAGGAAGTTGGACTACTTTCCAAAGAACAAAGAAGTGAAAGGTGTGGCTCAGATCAGGGGCAGCTCCAGGGGGCGCCCCACACAGCCTCCATCTCTGTCCTTGTTGGGTACCCAGCAACCGGTGAGTTTTCCAGAAGCTTCCACACCCTCAGAGAGCTGTGTTCCTCAGAAGACCACTGGGGGTCTCCCTCTGCTGGAGCCCTGCGCCCAGGCCTGCTCCCCTCACGCTGCTCTCCATTACTGGGGTCACATAGCTGACTCGCCCTGTAGGGAAGAGGGCACCAGGATCCCCTCTGTGCTCTGGGGTCAACTTCTCCACGCCCCGTTGGATGCTAAAGTCTGCCTTCCTCGACCCAGAACAGGCAGCCGCAGGGTCAAGGCCTCAAAAGTCAAGCGGAGGATGAGCAATCGGGTGCTGTGGCCCCCAGAGCATCAGTGGGGGACCAGCATGGTGCCCTGCCTGCCCCTGGAGCAGTACCCTTCCCACCAGCCCCACAAGGGAACGGCAGCTGTGGCCGCAGAAGTGCCACGGGGCCGGTCCTGCTCCGAGACCAGCCTCTACCCAGTGTCCTTCCTGGTGCCCCTGGTGGTGGCTCAGCCGGGGAGCCCCGTGGCATTGCCACAGACCCTCTATCCGCTGGACGCTGCTGCTGTCGGCTTGGTGGCCAGTGGCTGGACCCGGAAAAAGCAGCGCAGGTGGCAGTCCACCGTGGAGATCTCGGACAGGGCCCACCTTGCTAACCTGGCGTCCCACAGGGTGTCGGACAGGAGTGCAGGGGGTCTCCGGGCAAGGCCCCCGCTACCAAGGCCAAGCTCCTGTGCCCACAGTGAGTCCCAGCATTCCGAGTCTTCTGCCGAGTGCAGCTCCGACGTCTACTCCACAGTCGTGGAGACCAGCGAGGATGAAGATGGCAGCGATCGGACCACCAGCTGGTTCGGAGACAGTGAGTCCAGCGACAGCGAGGCCGAGGTGAGGGGCAGCCCAGTGACAGTTGGGCAGGCTGAGCCCACGTGGCCTCCACCAGAGGCCCTGAAGCCCTTACAGGCCAGCGATGGGCCTTGGCTGCCGCCTGATCCCACATCCTCCCGAGTCAAGGCCTCCCGGGCCCTGAAGAAGAAGATCCGCAGGTTCCACCCCGAGACGCTCCGAGTTATGACCACGATGTGAGCCGCCTGCCTTCTGTGGGATCCGGGTATCCAGAGACACCTAACTAGAGACAAATACTCCAGTACCCAAACCACCCCCACAGACCCAGGGGGCTCCAGCTGTTTATGCAGATGTGGTCTTTGTGCTCCCCTATCATTTGGCTTTTGTCTTAGAAGTTATGTTTCAAAGAGAGCTCCCCTACCCCTGCAACATCCCTCCTTAGAGTGGCCCCAGACTGTGCTCTCAACAGGAGAATATATTTCCTCTGGACCCTGCTCAGAATGTGCATACTCCCCAAGCACCCCCCTAAGACAACCCTCATGACTTCCGGTCCTGCTGGCCCTGGTACATCTTGTCCTTGAGGAGTGAGGGTGAGGGCTTGGCCCTGATTCTCCCAAACCACGCCCTCCAAACAGAACTACAGTGACCAGATGTTGGGGGTTAATCTCTCACTGTGCATAAGCCCCCCATCGATGCCATTATCTTCCCCAATAAAAGTGCAGCCTTTTCTTTCTCCTTTGGTCTGACTCTTCTTCCCCTAATGCTGGTCGGCAGTTAGAAAATGCATCCTTTAAATGATGTTTGGCAAGTGCAGTCTATTCCATCCCCACCCATAGAGAGCTTGTATTTGGTTTCCTGGGCATTAAACGTTTGTGGGAGAAAAAAAAAAAAACACCTCTTTCTTGCATGGAGATGAGCATGGTGGGCTTGAACCTCCGACCTTGTGGTTTGCAGTTCAGTGCTCATCAGGTGGGGCCACTACACTCAAATTCTGGTTCCAGAAATCAACTTTCTGTGCTCTAGACTTTCTGAATGAGACACCCTTCCTGTAGTGGGTTTGCTGTTTAGCTGCTTAAGGTTTCCACTTGTCACACAGCTTTTAAAGGATGTGGGCTGAGGTGGAGAAAAAGGGGTGGTGGGTGGAATTCTGAGACAGGAGCATTTACCCCATGGGGCCTCCTGGGGAGACTCGGGAACCCCACAGCTGATACATGATTGATCAGCTCATTCAGAAAACAAGCTTATGGGAAACCAGGTAGAAAACACAAGTGGATTTTATACTAGGCACTCATTGTATATTGAGGTAGACAATGGCTAGTTTCAGGATGCTGTATAAAGGGATAAACAAAGGATTAGTATTTCAAACAAAGTGGTTTTCCTCTGAGATGGGGGGCGGGTGGAGGGAGAAGCTGAGGATTCTGAAAGTCAGACCACCTAGAAGGCTACAGCTCCTCCCAACAAAGGGGTTCAAATGCAAACATTACTAAAGCCAGCTTTGAAATTCTAACAGTCCCTCCACTGAGACTAGGTGGAATGTCCAGCCTGCCTTAAAGGATCCCCTAGCCACAGAAGGGAGGGCATTGCTCTTAGCTTTCTTAAAGCATCACTGAAATGGAAAGGAATGTTCTAACACACCCATTGTTGGGGTTCTTACTGGACTAGGAGATAATTGCTCAGCTGTTAAAGGATGCGCTGAGGGAGCCAAGAGCTGGACCTCTGCTCCTTAAAGAGGACACTTTAGAAAATCCTACGAGGCAGTTCTACTCTGTCCCCCGGAGATGCTGTGAGTGGATGATATATGTCTATATGAGTACATGGTGTCCTGGGGTGGCACTGTGGGTTAATGCACTGGACTGCAAAATCAGTCTGAACCACAATGTCGCCGGTTCAAGCTCACCAGCCGCTCCTTGGAAACCCTTTACAAGGTTGCTATGGGTCGGAACCGACTCGACGGCACTTAACAGCAACCTGAGTATATAGTGACACAGTAGATGAGCACCCAGGAAATCCTACAGTGCAGTTCTAGCTCCGTCACATGGCACTACAATGAGCTGGCATTGGTACACAGCATCACATCAGTGATAGCAGACAAAAACCCCAGCCGCTGTAGCCCATACCAAGATGGGGATCCGAATCCACATATGTTTTATTGACAGATCTGAAAGGCAGTGAGAATCCTTCTCTGAAAGATGGCTTGCCCTCCCCCATACAGTGACCTCTTCCACCCCTCTAGGTATGGATCTATCTGCAGTGGGTCATTCTTTCCTCAGAGTTTTATGGCTCTCCTGTGGGGATGCAGTTTAGGTCCCACTGAATCACAGTGCTTTAAGTCCTGGGAAGTGAGTGCCCTCCAGGATCCCTCCAGGCTGCTTTCAGTCAACAATTGGGCACTAACTCCTTAGGCTGTGCATTGCTGGAGTACAGGGGAAAGGTGACTCCGGGGAGTAATGGTTGGAACAATGATTTTAAAGGTTTGAACAGAGAGGGGAAAACACTTTTTGAAAACCTTTCTCTCATCAGCTTCCCGAAATCAGCCATGGAGAACACTGTGGGACAGTTTGACCTGGACACACAGTGTCCAAGAGTCATAAGCAAGATAGGGGCTCTGCACAGTCAGGGCTTGACCAGAAACCCCCTGTCCTGGGTGACTGGGGTTCTTGTTAATAGGGCAGCTCTCCAACCCCAGGCTGCGTCCTGCCTTGCACATTGGCCTGGAGCTGAGGGAGGGGCCCTGGATATGACTGAGGAGTACAGAAGTCCTGGAGTGACACAGGCTTCCTCAGATACCCTGACAGAAGCTGGCTGCCCAGGGACACAGGACACCTTCACAGTCCTGTAGATGTCACTGTTCAGCAGACTGTTTTTAAGGGAAAGTACAGGCGCCGCCCCCCTCACCACTGTTCCTACAGCATCTGTGTGACCTCAGGGACTAAAACAGGAGACGGATGCAATAATTTAGGAATTCTGGAGGCCAGAACACAGACATGGTAGGCAAACCAAGGGAGCCAGGGATGAATCAGGGTTCTCCCTTCAAAGGGCTCACACAGAGAACAGCAATAATTTGGGTAAAATAGAATTTTAAATAATTTGCATATAAACATTGGTTGGACCCATATATTAAATACTCCTGAGCCAAGCCCACTGCCCTGGAACCCCTTCCGACTCAACAACCCTATAGAATTGCGCCATAGGGGTTCCAAAACTAGAAACATTTAAGGGAGCAGATAGCCTCATTTTTCCCCATGTGGTGGCTGGTGGGTTTGAACTGCTGACCTTTTGGTTAGCAGCCTTACACTTAATCCACTGTACCACCAGGGCTACTATAAAATTCATAGTCAAACGTGTTTTTAACAATGCAAGAAAGCATATGATTAAGGGATGAATCGTAGGTGCCTCTTTCAAACATTTTTTCACATGTTATATATTTACCCAAGGAAATCTTTTTTGCTTCTCCATGTTATCAAAAAGTATAAATTATGTTGGGTTTTATTTGTTATGTTAAATGCAAGGGGACTTCCAGAAGTTCATGGATAAATCCCATTCTCTTCTCCATTTGTCCTCCGACTGTGGAGGTCCTCTCATATATTCAACATCTAATTTGCCATTTCAGCCATATTTAAGCATACAAATCAGTGACATTTTAGTCCCTATTTTGGGGAAGCATCATCATTATCTATCTCTCAAGTATTTCTATTGTCACAATAGAAACTCAACAGTATTGAGCAATCAGTCCCCCCCATCCTCCAGCCCTGGTCACTCCTGTCTATTTCTTGCCTCTATGATTTTGCCTACACTAATTGTTGTTTCATGTAAGTGGGATCCTATAATATTTATCTTTTGTGTCATACTTGTTTTCCTCAGTAGCTCCTTGTATTGTGAATGTTTGTTTCCCCATTGACTAATGGAGTTGAGGGCTTTTTCTGGGGCCCATTGAGCACTCCCACAACTTCTTTGTAGTTGTTAAGTGTTCTTAGTCAGTTCTGAATCTTAGCAACCCTGTGTGGGCTCTCTGAGGAGCAGCTGGTAGCTTTCAATCACCAATTTTAGTACTTAGCAGTCCATTGCTTACCTTACAGTGTCACACCAGTGTCACATTTTTTAGGAGAAATGTCTATTCTTGTCTTTTGACCAATCTGTTCATGGGGTTGCTCATTCTGGAGCATTGTTGTTAAGTGCTGCCAAATGGGTCCCAACTCATAGCCACCCTGTATAGGGTTTCCGTGGAGTAGCTAGCTGGTGTGTTTGAACTGCTGACTTGTGGTTCACAGTCTATTTAGTACTGATCCTACAGTGCCACACCAGCACATGAACTGGGAAATAAGACTTACCATCCTAGATATTTGAGCGCTCTTACCTGGCTGTTCCATTTCCTTTGTATTTGCAGAGCAGGAAATGAGAACAGACAGAGGTGGGATTCAGAAGTAAGATGCTTGTAAAAAAAAGAAACTTGTAAAAGTGCATATGGTTTTCACTTAATCCATTGGTTTTTTTCTTATGACTAGGAGGGGAGCTGGGGAACTAATCAAAGATCAAGTCATTAGTTTATCCAGTCAATCTTCTGTAATAAACAGCTGGCATATTCCAGCTGTGCTCAGAGCTCTGCATGAAAAGGAGATAAGCAGTGTGCCCACCCTCCAGAAGCTGGACTAGTTGGAGAAATATGCAAATAAACAATGGTAGCAATCAACAGAATCACAATGCTATGATACTCATTTCTTCCAGTATGGCTTCCATACCAAGACAGACTCAAGAAAGATCTGGTCGTTTATTTCTGAAAATCAGCCAATGAAAACCCTGTGCATCACAGGGGCTTCATTAGCAATAACTGGGGATGTTGTAGGGCCAAGCAGCTAGAAACAGCAACATCAAGGAGACTGTGTACTGAGGACTCCCAGTTCAAGAGGCAGAGGCTGGGCCTGAGCTAGGACTGGCTGAGGGGAGAAGAGATGAACCAAGTGAGGGAGGACTAAGCGAAGAGAAGAAAAAGAGACATTTGAGAGGAGAAAAGGACACAGACAAGGGCAATGGAGGGAAAGAGCAGTTCTCAAGTAGATGTGGATTCACAAGGAACCTCTGTAGGTGATCCAAAAGAAGTTAGAAGCCAGCCAGTGTATAGAAGGACTCCAAAGCAGGGGGGCCACGCTAAGATGCTGATTGTAGGAAAACCCCTTGGCTGATTTCTCTTGAAGTGTTCGGTCCAAGAAAGGATCCAACTCAACGGTGTTGCCATGGGGACAAAC